TAAATAATTTTTTTGGTTATGAAATCATTTCCTGGCACACCGGCCAGGGTAAAGGCAAAGCTTTTCCAGGTTCATGACTTCCGAATTTAATGCACACATGGTGAACCATTTGCTCCTTCATTGAGTAAAGAGGAGTATTAAATGGTGATTGAGCACAGAAACATTCCAAAAAGCACTAATTGACACATCCCCCCACACATAGTGTGGTTTTATCAAATTTGACTGCAAAAGTGTAAATAAACTTAAAGGTATACTTTAATATAAATATTCTTTGTTTCATTGAGTTTACCTTTGCACGTTCTGTTACTGTAGTCAAGATAATACTGCTGTGTGCAGCTTTCATATTGGCATTCTCCAAACAGCAAAACTTTGTTTGGGTCTTTACATTCAGAACATCCCTCTGCTGAATTGCAACTTAAACATTGGCTGTTACAAGCTGTAGGAGAGGAGACAACAGTTAACAAGAGACCACATAAGAGTATAACATAGTAGCAACAATGTAGCCATTAAAACTGTATGCTTTATTTAAAAATATTGTTTGCTATAGACTGCTTGCTGGTTTCAGAGTTACAAGTAAGGCTTCAGTTACTTTGATTTGACTTCTTGAAGCCTCTCAGAGGATATTCAGTGGAGGTCTATCTGAAACCTGCTAAATTAAGGAAATTGCATATCAATAAATTCAACAAAGGCTGTCTAATGTCTATCATTTCTATAATATATTTGTTAATTACATTTATTTGCATTAAAAGTATTTTTAAAAGTATTTTTAATTCATTTTTGTACATGATTGTAATTATAAAGTCATATGAAAAAGTACAAGCCATGGAATTCTTTGACTTTTACATCAACTCGAGCTGACCGTTACATGCTAAAAGAAGTGTCCAGGAACCCCATAATATCATTGCCAGATATTTCGGTAACTCTTGCAAAAGGTGGGGTCAAAATGTATGCAGCTAAAATCAGAAAGAGATTGCAATAACTAAACCAGATTGAGAGGTGTGTTAGGAAAAGCATCTGCTGTCCAAAAAGAACATTAGAGTAAGATTACAGTTTGCCATTGCACATATAGGCAAAGACAAGGCATTCTAGAACAATATGCTAAAGACTGATGAAACAAAGGGTTATGTGGTCCGATACCACTACTAGTATCGGTGCCGATGCCGAGTATTTTGGTGAGTACTCGTACTAGCCCAAATGCTCCCGATGTCTATCCCGATAACGGAACACCCGGGAACCAGCAAGCCGGGGGGCGAGTCATTACATGCTGCCCAGCTTCTAGGTTGGCTGGGAGGTGACTTGGTGACGAGGGAGCATGGAGCCGGTCTCCTGGCTGGCCAATCGGAAAGCCGGGCGCCGTGTAATGACTCGCTCCCCGGATTCCTGATTCACCAGAAAGCCAGCTCCAAGCTTCTTCGTCACCTGGTGACGAGGAGCATGAAGATGGCTTCCTGGCTGGTCAGGAAGCCAGGCGGCAGTGTTAATACACGCCACCCGGCTTACTTAATGAGACTTTTGGTATTGGTATTCGGTATCGGTGAGTACTGAAAAAAAATATTGGTACTAGTACTCAATACCAAAAAACCGGCATTGGTGCATCCCTAGTCTCAGTAATAGTAGACATGTGTTCTGCAAGCCGGAGACATCATTTCAGGAGAATAATCTCATAACAACTGTAAAGCATGGTGGTGGAAATGTCATGGTTTGGTGTTGTTTTGCTGCTTCAGGGCTGGGCAGCTCACAGTCATCAGGTTTGATTTACTAAAAGTAAATAGGCTGTTCCCTTTGCAAGGAAATTTTCACTTTGCAAGGGCATTTTTATTTAGCTTAGTGAATAAGGTAAAGATTTGCTGACTTCTATCATCCTATTTACAAACAAATTGTCCTTGCACATCATTGAGTATTCTTCTAAAGTGGATTTCCACACCATTACTAAGATAAGGGAAATTTCCCTAGTAAAGTGAACAGCCTATTTGCCTTTACTAAACCAACCCCATATAATCAGAATAGAGACATAGGGGTTAATATACCAAAAAAAACATTGTCACCTAGCAAGGAATATTTCATTCAGCTTAGTAAATATAGTGACAAGTTTGTGTAGGTCAGTGATACATCCTTAAAATGCACTTTTCGGAAGTGAAATCTTTACAGACTTCTCCATCTGCAGTTTTAATGCATTCTTCTTTTCTGCAGTGTGTAGTCTAAGCATACTAAACAGCATGTTGCTGTTAAATTTCAACTTTTTGTGAAAAACCAGCAGCTAAGCTCATATTCCTATCGCAATCCTTTTCCTCCTGGTCACTGACATGAGTAAAGAGGAAAAGTTTTACCAAAATAGGGTAATATATGGTGTGTGTATGCACTAAAATTAAATTGAGGTAATTTGAGTGTGATAAAGAGTTACACTAATATGCACATAATCTCATGTCACAGAATTTCTGCTTCCAGGGAAAAAATAAATAAAAGATTTTTTCGGGGGGTTAAGTAATCTCCAGGCCTAAAATGTGCAATTTAAGATGTTAACAAAAAAACTAAATGCAGCTCTGACGACATAAGGGTTAATGGAATGAGATGTCTAATTAAATGGCTAAAGGATCGTGTACAAAGAGTATCAATAAATGGCACCTTTTCAGACTGGGCTGAAGTCAGGAGTGGCGTGCCCCAGGATTCTGTGCTGGGCCCCATGCTTTTTAACCTATTTATTAATGATATCAGGGAGGGAGTGAGTAGCCATGTTTCAGGGTTTGCTGATGATACGAAAATTGGGAGGGTAATAGACACGGATTTAGACATTGTAACATTACAGGAGGACCTGGATAAACTCGGGGAATGGGCAACTGTATGGCAGATGAAGTTCAATGTCGATAAATGTAAGGTAATGCACTTTGGAGTTAAAAATAGTCAAATACACTTATGGGTGCGCACTAGGGAAGTCGGAAACGGAGAAGGATTTGGGGGTCATTATAGACCTGAGATTGAAGAACAGCTTGCAGTGCCAGACTGCTGTAAACAAAGCAAGCAGAGCCCTGTCTTGCATTAAGAAGGGGATGTATTGCAGAGACAAGTCTATAATTTTTCCACTTTAGAGATCACTGGTTCGGACACATCTGGAGTATGAGGTCCAGTTTTAGTCACCAATACTAAGAAAAGATGTCCCTGAGCTGGAAAAGGTCCAGCGGAGGGCAACCAGACTGATTAAGGGGTTCGAAGACCTCAACTATGAAACAAGGTTGTTAAAATTAAATATGTTCTCTTTGGAGGTTAGGAGATTAAGGGGGGACATGATTTTCTTGTATAAACTGTTCAACGGCGACAGCAACATTATTAACAAACTGTTTATGGTTAGCTCTGTAACAAAGACCGGAGGGCTCCACCACAAATTGGTAGACATTTTTATTTACACACGGGGCGCAGGGGGCTCTTCACAGTTAGAGCGGTTAGGGTCTGGAACTCTCTGCCGCAGGTAGTGATTTCTGCTAAGAGTGTGGATTCATTCAAGAAACTCCTGGACGAGTTCCTTGGAGACCACAACACAAAGGGGTACAAGTACTCTTAGGAGCAAAATCACACATGGACTCATATACACGCACACACCTGCTCAAACATAAATGCACACACGCAATAGGTTGGACTTGATGGACTTAGGTCTTTATTCCACCTCAAATACTATGTAACTATGTAAATGGAAAATATTGTTGTATTCAGTAGTAAGTAGTTGGGGGAAGGGTGATATTCATGGCCTCTTATTTCTGATTATTGATATGGAGGTTCCCCAGAGCTCTGAAAGTAGATTGGAGATGGCGATATCTGGAGAAGATGCATAAAAACAGAAGGTTGTCTGTATAGGCAGCAATCTTATCCTGGAGTTGTTTTATCATTTAACTGCAAAATCATTGTAAAACTTATCACTTAGGATGTGGAAATGAGCAACTGTTGAGAAAAGGCAGTCTTATGTCCAATCAAAAATACAGTATAGCCATGCAGATAAGACTGTAAGGCCATACTTTTACATGGGAAAAGGTATAAGACATTGCTACAAATGAGCAAAAAAAAAGTATAAAATTATTTGGTGCTTACACCTGAAGTTGAAAAGCATGGCACATAAATCTAAAGGGATAATGAGAAATAGACTGGTTCCACATGTATGGGTACGAAACCTGGGATCAGGTTGTCAACCTGTGTCCTAAAATATGATATTGCCTTGTACTTTGAGACATGTTCATTACACAGGTAAGTGAACCATCAGCCAAAGGTTCACTTACCTGTTAGATTAGCCAGGGAATAAACTAACAATTATCTTAAATCATACAGCACACAGTCTTTCATATGTCTACCACTGTTAATCATAATCTGTGCAGTAACTGGTTCTCTGTGATTAAATTCTTGGTTTGTTTTTCAATACTATTAGATCTGGCTGTACCTCTTAACCTTATGCACCACATTTCTCAATGTCGACAAAAAGGTATTTCAGAACTAATGGCTCATGGAAGGACACTGCAGTTAAAAGAACACATCTGAAAACAGCAGTTCAGAAAAAAGTTAATCTTTTATTTCAGGCAACAATAAGCTGCACTGTTAAGAAACAGATAACAACCATTCCAGGTAAGAGTCACTGTATGGCAAACAATACAGTATTCTTTATTGGCAAGGTTAAAATACAAGATGAAAAAAGGCATGTTTACTGTTGATTTGCCGCAATAAATCTTCCAAAACAATCACATTTAAAGCACTATACTAAAATATATGGGAAGCATAACATTAATTTATTCAGACCATTAAACCAAAAACAATAAGGTAAATCTACATAAAAAAATTATTGGCATTCTGAAATATATATGTAAATATCCTCAAGACTGCACAGAAAATACGATTTAAAAAAATGTTTAATTTTAGGGGACTATTCGTATAGAATTTGCAGAGCTATTTTCCACGTGAATCTCTGTGAATATTTAGGCCTGGTTCACACCCGGGCGTTTTACAGCGCGTTCAACATGTGAAAACCAATGATTTCCTATGGGCATGGTTCTCACCTGGGCGTTTACAGCGCGTAGGAACGCGCTGCAAAACGCCCTACGCCCAAAGAAGTACGGGAGCTTCTTTGGGGCGTTTTGCCGCGCGTTTCCATTGGTATTCCCGAGTGTGGATCGGGGTTAACAAAGCGGTAACCACGAGCCACACTCGGGAATGCAGCATACGGGTCTTACCTTGTGAGCGATCTCCGCTCTGCCTACCGGCGGCGGCCGCGTCGCAGGGCGGCGGAGCCGGCGGGAAGTTTAAAAGTGAAACAAAACAAAAAAATGTAAATAGAGAAAATAAAGGAAAAAAACATACCGCCAGTGAAACGCGAAAAAAACGAGCTGAAAAACTAGCATAAAAAATACGCTCAGGTGTGAGCACAGCCTTTATTCTGTGCGAATGAAGGCAAAAATGGATGGTCATAGTATATTTGCTTTTTAGGTGAAATCTAATGTAATACCAAAAATACTTATTTTCTATGCTCCTCTGCTCTATCTAGTGGCCATAATGCAGTACCACATTACATTCACCCTGAAAGGAAAATAAATGCTCACAGCGATTTGCAGGGCAAATGGCTCTGCAAAATATTTCTAAATAAACCCTTTTATTAAAGTTTAGTGGTCGTTTATGTCCCAGCCTTCTCATAATCTGGTACATCTGAAAGGGGAACTATAGACAATTAAAGGTTTTTAGATGTATACATGTAAAATACGCCTAATGGAAACAACCCTATCAAAGTGTATTAATGTTAAAAATCAAAAATGAAAACAAAAGACTTAGAGAGCTGTTCGGCTATTCACTTCAAGCTTGTACGGCTGATTTCAGCCGTACCTCGGCTAAAATCAGCCGTACATCGGCTTGCTTCGGTCGGCTGAACAAGCTTTGTGAATAACCCTCTTAGTGGTAATGATTGTCAGCAAGAGACCATGTGAACTAGCCAATTGGTCATGACTGTTAATTTCCCTAAAGAACTGTACTGATATCGTATGGAATACTGCATCAATTACACTACAGTATATGTGCAAAGTACAATACTCACACAGCTTTTTAGTAGCTTTAGTATTATGAGTTAAGCTAAAGACACAACAAAGCCTACAAAGCTTGCTTTGAGGCTTCATTTGTCTGAATGAAACCTGTCTGTTGTCTGATAGGGGATGGATCACTGGGAAGAACTCATTTGCGTTTTTTAAACATTGGACTATTTTCAGTTGATCAGCTTTCACATGTGAAAACGAGATTAGAGCTCCTTCTGCTGGCTGGATAGAGAACTTCAAAATATTAATATGTCATAATATGTCATAGTTGCATAAAGATATACGGTAGATGAATGAATAAATGAGAAAATACGTACAAAAGAAATATAGAATCTCTTAATTGTCCAACTACTAATACTGCCAGCACTGGTGTTAAGCTTCATCCCCTCACCAATTAGATGGCACTGCTCTTACATAAACAGGGGAAAAGTGCATGGTTATGCAAGTATTTGTATTACTGCTTGCTCTCCTTCACTAAATATAACAGCTGAGTCTAAGGGCAGTTGTGGTTCAAGATGAGAGGTAAGAACCTGGCCTTAGGCTGTTTCTGGGATAATGATAGATAAGGAGAGATTATGAACTTTCTTTACTGTGGGAGCAGGTTTGAATTAAAGGCAAGTACAATATAGACTTCACATTTAATACATAGGAAGATGAATGGACCAGCTCACTAACAGGCTTTTTCAATAAAGCAGTACAATGCAAAGTTTAATAACAGCAGCCAATCAGAAACCAAACATGCATTGGTATGACTTAAATTAAAGTGAACCTGCACCCACACTATGCACGATAAAGTATTTACATATTTTGAACAAGCAGTTAAATTAGCTGACTGGCTGCTTTATAATACTGCACTTTGCATTTTTTGCCATTTTTGCTCTTTTTTCCCCCCCAAAATAAGCCTGCGTGTTTCTATTGCTGTCACCAGTGTGTCTAACTGTAGAAAGTTCTTTTTTTTTCTGTTACTCACCATCATAACCACAAAGTATTTAAATGCTGTCTACAAAGTTACATCAATCTGGGTTACTGATGACAGTAGAGATACAGACCTTTGCATATATTTCCATCCTGGTAGTATCCTTGAGCGCACATCTGAGAACACATGCCATTGTGAGACAAAACAAGACCGTCCTCACAGGAAGTACACGAGTTTAAACCTGGACCACTGCAGGTTCTACAAGACAGGTGGCAACCTGCAACAAACACAGCCACATAATAGGTAGTTTAACACAAAAATCCAAGATGCAAGAAAACAAAACTACAAATATCAAGAAAATGAATCTCTAGATTGTGCAAAAACAAAGAAAATAAAGATACCAATTAGAAATATATATATTATTTATGGTATTTGCATAAACATATCAGTTCCACCCTTTAGTAAAATCTATAGTATGCTGCGCTTGGTGTATAAAGTGAATGAGTAAATAAATGATCTAAGAAACTAACTGTGTCCACCTATGTATACAATCGCAACTGTGTATCATATATCAGTACATAACTGTGAACTAATGCATGTGCTCTCTCACATACATGATTGTTGGATAAATTAATAAAGTGATTCCTTCTGGAAGTGAAATGTTTAACGAAAAAAACGTGTGTGATCTACTACACCATGAAACAATATACAAATATTTTCTTGTGTTAATATAGTGCTATTAATAATAACGGATGTGACTAAGTGTTGTTTCCTAGCTTATAAGCCTGTGAATATTTGAAATATTTGAAAAAAAACAATCAAATATGGAGGAAACAAATGAGGGGGAGCTCTCCTGTTACACATCTCAGCCACCCTTTAGAACTTTCAATCTGCACTAAATTGCACAGGCAGGATTTTTGCTTAATGATTTGTTCCTCAGAGTTTTGTGCTTGCCACTGGTTCTGTTATTTCTTATTGATCAACTACAGGGTCAATACCTGGTTTGCATTCTTATTTTTACTCTCAGACTCTGCTCTTATTCTGTACACTGAGCAAGTCAAGAGTTTGTTTGATGAGGTTTTATGTATGATAATTAAGCAATTACATTTGTATTGCAATTATACTTATGATTGACACCTTAAATAAGTCTAAAGTATCTGCATGTACAGTACGTGTATAATTAAAGGGTTCTATTCAATTGCTGCTGCTGCTGCTGCTGCTGCTGCTGCTGCTGCTGATGATGATGATGTAAAGAATAAAAATGAATGAGACCATTTGATATTCTCATGAAATTACAAAATGTATATTGTGTTTATACATACTGTACATAAGCTTACTATTACAAAGTGCATTATTATAATGTATTTGTTATTTAAGCCGTGCACAGGGGCATTATTGTATTATTTTAAGCAAGACAGTATTAAAAATCTCCTTCCATCAATGATGGAGCTCTTTGTGCTCTATGCAGGCAGATGTTTAGAGGGAGAGGACTAGGTGAGTAGTTAAGATTCTCATGTCTGCAGTAAAGTTACCAGGTTACATCACGGCTGGCTCCATCCAGCTGTCAGAAGGCCGCTCGGCAAGCTTCGGCTTTCAGCGTGGCTCAGCCGAGCCGAGGCATGTGCCTCCGGGTCGACTGAGCCGCTCGGCCAAGTTCGGGATCTGTACGGGCTATAGTGAATGGGGTCCTGATGCCGAAGCTAGCTGAAGGATCGGCCGAAGCTACGGCTAGATCCTTCGGCTGCTTCGTGAAGATACCCCAGAGTGCCGGGTCAAAAGTAAGTAAAGCACAGAGTGCAGGGGCCAGGACTAAGCAATGCCCAAAGTTTAACACACAGAGTGCAGAGTAAGTAATGCATAGAATGCAGAGGTCAGTAGCACACGGAAGGGAGTGCTCAAAAATAAGTAATGCATAGAGTGCAGAGGTTAGGAGTAAGAAACACACAGAGTGCAAGGGTCATAAGTAATGCACAAATTGCAGGGGGTCAGGAGTAAGTAACACAGAGACAGCAGACAATAACATGTCTCCTTGCACTTCCACAGATTATACCAGATGGTTTGTTATATTACTACATACCTTTAAATACTAGTGTTTAAACAGTGTCCAGGTACATATATAAATACAGCCCCTCAGCATCATCCATAATAGATATTTTTGTGTTATTAATGATAACAGCAGGAAGTATACTTTGTCTGGAATTCTTTCATGCAAACACCACCTGCCCACATCACCTGGGGTCACTCCAAAACATTAAAGCTAGGATCACACTTTTCTGCTGGGGTGCATTGCATTAACATGCATTTTTCAGCAGGGTGCACTGGGGACCAACGTAAGTAATGCGCACTGTGGAACATGGTGCGTTAATGCAAGCACTCCCACGGCACAAAAGTGTCTAAAAAATAAGAGGCAAGTGTGTGGGGTATGGTTATCATTTGTCTCTGTAGCTACGACTCATTGCCGTTAGCTATATCGATCCCGGAATTCACATCTTCCCTTTGGAGCCAAAATTTACAATGTAGCAATATGCCCACCTTTATGCAGCCACATCTTACCCCATACCTGCAGCCATAGCATGCCTTTCTCCCTTCTGCCATATTACCTATCTTCAGGAATGAAACTGCTATCCTGCTGCTACTTCACCCTTGTGCTTGCCTGTTTGCATAAGTGGGAGGTAGCACCAGCAGGCAGAGAAAGGTGGGACGTTGGTCAGAGACATTGCCGGGGACAATTCCCCAAAAAGGGGACCCTGGCATACAGGGACGAATGGTAACCATAGCCAGCAGGTCTTATTAAAGGTCTACAGAAGTTGAATGGCCATTTTATATTCTTGCTTACCTTTACAGTTTCTTCCTTCTACGTAAAACCCAGCATGACATTCTGGAAGGCAGCGGTCTCCAAGAAAGTAATATCTGGAGTACTGGCATTTTAAACACACACTGCCTGTATCATGTAAATTGGCAACACAGTACTGACACTGTGGATGACAATCTAAAACAAAATAGCATATATAATTTTTAGCTTCATGTAAATGAATTTCATACACAAAAAATATAAAATAAATATTAAATAAAATGATCTAATAAAGTGAATGCATAGCTAAAACTCTTTTTTAGTTAAGATAAGGGTTAAAACCCTTGCCAGTTTATTTGTTGCTGTTTGTGTAGCCATGGGAATATAGCCCTTCTTGTTGCAACAGGAAGTTAAGGGAATTTTCCCAAAGTGAGGGGAATTATTTTCTTAGACAGTTGTCCCTGGCACATCTTTTTTAGTTTAGGGAAGGGTTAAAACCCCTACCAGTTTATTTTTTGCTGTCTGTGTAACATTTGGAATATATCCCCTAATTTCCAGGCTCCCAGAGATGCAAAAGGAAGGTAAAGGAAATCTCGCAAAGTGAGGCGAATTCTCCTCTTAGACACCTGTCCCCTCAACATCTGTCCCCATTAAAAGATTTCCCCAAACCTGTCACTCTGGAAACGTTAACATTTTGGATTTGCCCTCACTTTCTGTTTTGGTGACAATGGTCACGAGTACAAATAGAGGAGTGAATCTGCCCAGGGACTCAAAAAGCAATAGATAAAGGGTCTAAGCATTGCCTACTCCATCCAAAAAAAAAGAAAAAGGTTTTGCGTAGAGAAACACTTTAAATGTAATGTGATTTATAGTATTCTTTGCTTTAGCATGCAATCATTCCAAGAGCAAATACATGCTGATGTAAGACATCTTGACGGCCCATGGAAAAACTTTTATTACAGCTTGCATTAGAATTTATCTCTAAAGGCATGATTACTGCCATCAGTTCTCTTACTTCCCCCTATGGATTTACATTATAAAAGAACCATGATTTGTACATTTCTAAGCAGAAAGGCATGACAGTAATTCCTGCTATCACTGAAGGCATAATGACAGATATGAGAGAGGTAATGTGCGTGTATAAAATGTAATGCATGGCATATTAGCAGATTGCTCACTGACATGCGCTGGTATACACTACAGCAGACAAGTACATCAAATTAATGAAATACAAATATTGGCATACACAAATCCACTTCATTGTGTAACACACAGCAGCTATTAGTAATAACCAAGTTTAAAGAATATAATGCTTAGTAAACGATGTGCTGCAAAACTCAAATTGCTTTTGCCTTGGCGGTTGAAAGTTAATTTAAATTCCTAAACTGTCAAGTTCACATATAAGATGTAATTGAGCCAAAAAGAATTACTCCCTTTACCATTCTTTCAGCAGAAACTCTTAAATTAGGGAATTAACATTAGAATGCTAGCTTGTTCTTAATCAAAGCAACATTATACCTTTAAATCTAGAGTCAAAACATCACATATTTTCTGAAAACATTAAAAGGGCTAAGCCATTTTTTTTATACTATTAATGTGGTGTATGATTTAGACGAAACCTGTCATGACAAGAATATGGAAGCTGCAATTTCAGAGCTCAGCTTTTGAAAATGCTAACTGCCTGACTGCCATGTTCATTCTCTAGCTTTGATACTTTGAATCACTGACTCATGCAGATATGTATCTTTGACTTTTTTCCTGAATTTTCTGAACTCTCATACTTGTTCCAGCTAAAGCTACTGGGTCAACATAACTGCCATGTGACCTACATTCTCAGAAAAAGGTTAGCAATGGAAGAGTTGCCAGTGCTCTCTTGACAGATTTTTTATTAAAATAAACATTTATGAAATTGAAATCTCCTAAATTAAATAGTATGATCATACATGCTCATAAACAGAGCAGGAAGAGCAGGAAACTAAGACCATTAAAAATGTATTTGGGGATCAGAGTTGTTGGCAAATATTTACATGATTTTTATCTATATTTCAAACAAAATGCAATGTCTATATTTTATTTTTAATGAAACAAATAAAATAAACCACGACTTACGAAAATAGTTGTTAAACTGACAAAGCATGGTGCCAAATAAACTTTTGTAAACTTTTACCATGACACAATAAATGTCTTGATTGATTTCAGTTGGCAACATGACCGACTGGAGAGCTGATAGTGATTAGGATATTACAGGATGTAATGACACTGACTCCAAGAACAAGGGTGGCTAAAGAGATTTCACTGTTTGCAGTAAAAGTTATAATGGCCAATCTTAGATCTTCTGAAAAGGGTTGCTGTATGAAAGGTGGCTTTCACAACAAGCTGTTATTAATGACAAGCACGTTGAAAAAAATAGGATTTTTGTACTCACCGTAAAATCCTTTTCTCTCCGTTCATTGAAGGACACAGGGCAACAGATCGTAGATCCTGAATGGTAGGGTATATCGCCACCTGCAGGAGTAGGACGCTAGGCACATAACAAAAAGACAAGACAGCCTAGGGGCGGCCCCTGCTGGTGGCCCAACCCCTCACTTGCTGACAAGTCTCCAGTAAGTAACAAGCAGTTAGGAGTACACACCCAATATAGAGGGCGGGACCTGTGTCCTTCAATGAACGGAGAGAAAAGGATTTTACGGTGAGTACAAAAATCCTATTTTCTCTCCCGTTCATTGAAGGACACAGGGCAACAGATCGTAGATCCTGAATGGTAGGGACGTCACCAAGCAGTACACACTGAGGGATGGGCAACAACAACAAAACACCCAAAGGACACCTCAAACAGCCGCCTGCAACACTTTGCGCCCCAAACCAGCATCCGCTGATGCCAAAACATCCACCTTGTAAAACTTAACAAAGGTGTTAACAGAAGACCAAGTAGCGGCCTTACAAACCTGAGAAACAGAGGCCCCATGGCGGAAAGCCCAGGAAGCCCCAACAGCCCCAGTAAAATGGGCAGTGACAGGAAATGGAGGCTCACGCCCCTTAACGGCGTACGCCTGAGTCACAACATTACGTATCCACCTAGAGATGGTAGCCGCCGACGCGGCCCGACCCTTACGAGGACCCTCCGTGAGCACGAACAGGGAGTCGGTCTCGCGGAAAGAAACCGCGGCTTCCAAACAAACACGAAGAGCGCGAACCACATCCAAACAGTGGAGCGCACGCTCCTTCCTATGGACCGGATTCGGACACAGGGAAGGCAAGACAATGTCCTCATTCAGATGGAATGAGGGGGTCTAGAGGGGTCCGCAGAGCGCAGCTCACAACCCCCACACGGCAACGCAGGAGAGAGTCATCCCTGCGAGCGTCCTACTCCTGCAGGTGGCGATATACCCTACCATTCAGGATCTACGATCTGTTGCCCTGTGTCCTTCAATGAACGGGAGAGAAAAGGCATATTACCCTATAAGAAACATCCACAACCTTTTTGTCATGGAGCAAGAAAAATAATTTGCAGGTCTCAGGGAACTCCTGCTAAAAATGATTACAGCCACAGTGCATGGTACATTTACATGATTAGTAAGTTGTAGAAAGTTCTAAAAAAGAGAATAAAGAACGTGATATTGATAGAGTGTTTTACACCCAAAAGTAACATTGTTTGACCCCACCAGCTGTGTGCGAAAAAATAATAATTTAATTGATAATCCGGACACAAAAAGAATAAATATGATGAAAAAAAATGCTGACAGTGAAGATTGTGTCCCCTAACATTAGTGGTCAATAAATAAATGACCCCATACATTGGCAGTCAGTGGAAAATGTCTTCCTTGTTATGCTGCTAAGTGTAGTTGGAAGATCAATGAATCACTGCTTTCTGCTCAAGGCTTCCTAGCAACCTCAAAAGGAACCATATTGTTCCACGGATTTTTTTTGCGAAAGGCTGGCCTATAAGATATCCCCAATCATTGCTGGCACAAGAAGGTAGTATTAGTTCACATTTATTCTCCTCCTATCAAGCTGTTTTTGCAGTGTATATAAGCAACAAACAGCATCATGTTTGGAGGCAACATGAAAACTAGAAGCCACAGTGAGGCTGACAACTGTTGTCCAGCTCTTCTTTAAAAGTGCAGTTATCTTCGGCCACACAGACCATAATGATCGTGCAAACAATCCTGTCATCTTAATAAAGGGAAAGGTTGTCAGCATCAAAACAATTATATTACATAATTGAATTTCAGTATCGTAGCTATAGATGTGCTTGCTCAACAATATCCTTAGAGTTGATTTGATTACTTTGAAACAGTGAAACCCCGTAATTCCAAGAATCACAAACCACAACCAAATCCATGGAAGTCAAGCTCCATTTCTGGCTACGCTTTAGCTTATTGGCTGGCATACAAATGGCATGTCTGGTAAATAGTGGTTGTTGGAAAGTATGTGCATTTTTCTCTATAATAGAAGCGGTAGATTATAATATTCTTCCATTGAGAGAAAAGGTGTGATTAGCATACATCTACATATTATGACACTTGTCCTTGCAAAATGCCTGTTTACTACTCCAAATGAAAATGAATTATAAATATAGAATAACCTTTTTTAAAAGGTTGATTATAGCACTTTAATTTTTAGAAACAATCCTGGATTATTAGTGGACTCATGTTTATTCATTTTGTTTAGATTTACATCTGTATGTAAACCTACATTATGCAAACCTGTTTAAGGCTTCTTATTAGTTGGAGAAAATCATATATTCAGTACACTTAAAGGGATAGTTCTCCTCCCTTTGGGAGATGTTCTGCTTTGGCAAAAGAAGCATCTTTGCAATGTCATACCTGTAGGCTGTGCAAGGACTCTTTCTGTAAAACCTAGTAAGAGGGACCCTCCCCATTCTGCCGAGATGGCAGGACAGGGTGACCATTGGACCCCCACACCGCAGGAACAAGCTCTTAGCTTTGTTCATAACCCATGCATGAACATTTTTCAGACTGGCTTGGAAGAGGCCACGCATGACCTACAAGCAAGACATTGAAAAGAAGTTTCTTATGCCAAAGTAGAGTTTATTGTTGTACTGGAGATACCTCAATGCATGGGCAATTTTATTGGAAAGGTGAACGCTCCTTGTAATGCAAAACTCAACATGCAAAATTTAAAAAACATTTAAGTGGTTTTACCACAGATGTTATTGCACCAATGATTCAGTCCTTGTTCTCTATTCCCCTATATTTTGCCAAGATACCTCACACTCCAACACCAATGCTAGGCAAAGTGATAGATTGTTCTGGGTCAGTCACAACAAAAGGACCAAAGCCAACTAGCATTTTCATAAGGAGATCAGCAATGGCAGCTCCCATTTTTCTACCATGACAGATTTCCTTTAAATGGACACAAGTCGCTAGAATCATTGAATACTCAACTGGTCTTCATCTCCTCCCACTAAACCATAATAAAGATGTTGCTCTTGGTTGACTCAGCAATGTTTTTTTTCTATTCTACATTATGAAGAATCCACAACAGAAGAGTGAAAACTCAGCTGGTTCTGTAATGAGCTGTGGCAGCCAACCAGAAATGAGAATTCTGGTGGAAATGTCAGGTAATGGAGCTTGCAAGCAATCATGCAAAACTAAAAAAAAACTTTTGTATGGTCTTTATTGCACAAAGAAATATATGAGAAAAATCACTTACCAACACAATAACCTACTAGGTTAAGGTACTGTCCATCAGAGCATGAGGTTTTGCAGCTACCAGCAATAAGACTAGCATGAGGGTGGCAAGTTAGACATTCAGCATCGGAAGGACCACTGCACTCCTTACACGATGGGTGGCATGCTAAAGCAATGGAGAACAAACTGTGGTGAGTAATGGTACACCATAAGATATTACAAACAATGCACATGCTATGCTCTTCATGAAGTTATTAGATCAATAACCCATTACCTAAAATAAAGTAGAGTGGCAGTATATACTAAGCAAAAGTAGAAGGTGAACAAGCATAACGATTCATACTGCTTTACTGTTTTGATAAAAAAGATAAATACGGTAAACAGATAGTTACCACTTTAGTACATAAGAACTCACATTACATTGCTACTTATTTTAAATTATTTTGAAAGAAGAACTCTGGGCATCATGTTTTAACTCTTGCAGGGGGCGACCCCTGCACTGCAAGGGTTAAGTGCTCATTTTAATCTAGGGATGACAATAACTAAGATATACTCGCCTGAACCTTGCAGCTGGCTGGCTGTTACACTGGTCCCCTCAGCCTCTCTCCTCCTCCACTTTAGCGATGGAATGTCTATTGGTTGGCATACTCACATCGTATACACTGTATAGGACGCGATGACTCACAGAACCTTGCACTGTTGAAATACCCTAAACGAAAACGAGCACTTAACCCTTGCAATGTGAGGGTATCCCCACTGCAAGGGTTAAGAATATTTATGCCTGGAGTTCTTTAATTCTTTAATTTATAGGCTTCCACCGCTAACAAATTTTGTAGTGTACAGTCGAAACCACACCTAATTACAGATTTGAGTTACTTCAGAAAGTGAAATGAGATCAAGACTAGCTCTAAGGCTGCTGTCCCTGGAAGGCAGCATGTAACCTGACAACAACTGATGTTCTGCTTTCACGGTGCTGGCCGCTAAGTAAACAGGAGATCAAGACTAACTCTAAAGCAGCTCTGCCTGGAAGGCATCAAGTCACCTGACCACAGCTGATGTACTGCTTGTACATTGCTCTTCTTCACTGTACTTCATTCTACTTGATCAGCAGCTGTTGTAGCCAAGATGATGAGAACACCCTGAATTATTATCATATTCTATCATATTCTTTGATACATATAGTTGGCTAACACTGGTGTGATGTGATTCAAAACACATAAAAAGCTTTGGCTGCTTCCCATGTTCTTCAAAACTATATGTGCTGAGTCAGTTCTAAGTTCCCTATTTTTTTTTTTTTCTTAACTTGCTTAACACATCCACATTGTAATGAATAATATGTTCTATTACCTAGCTTCACTGAAGGCTTCGGCAATTACTTACCATGACAAACTGTATCCTTGTTATAGAATCCCTCAGGGCAGAGTGGCAAACATGCCCCATAGTGCAGAACATTTGGAGTAGAGCAGCCAGTACAATTTAAATTATTTCTTCCGCTGCAACTTTTACATGATAAGTGGCATTCTGCAAAAAGAGGGAGAAATGAAAAGTATAGCTACATACATAAGGCCTGTACAGCCATGATTAAAGGCCTAGTAGACTAAAATAAAGTATCTGTTTGCTAGGTTAGCACAAAAAACACAAAGAGGGGAATTTATCAAAACTGGAGCAGACAAAATCTAGAGCAGCTGTGCACGGCAACCAATCAGTTTCTTTCTTTCATTTTCAAATCATAACTGAACAAACTAAAGAGAGAAGCTGATTGGTTGCCATGCACAGCTGCTCCATATTTTGCCTGCTCCAGTTTTGATAAATTCCCCTCATTATATTTATTTAAATGGCAGTGGTTGGATGACCATGAATACCATCCTCACTGATGCTGCATATATCCTCACATCAAGTGAACATATGCTGTGAGATACAGAACCACTTTCATTTCTGGACTAAAAATAAGAAGATTATCATTTTAAGTTGCCAAACATGCCAGTAGCATTTTCCCAGTCGATAATGGTGTCCCTAGGATATCTACAGCAGATTTTCAGACCCTAAAAGCAGCTAAAATTGAACCGGTCTAGACTATAAGCTTCACATGTCAGGAAGGTTGATGTCTGTGGCCAGTGTTTAAGGAGTCCAGAACAGGAACCCTATAGGCTTCATGTTCCAGTCACGTATACAGTTGTACATGTGATGACAATGGTTGCATGGCCCTTATTCTGTGAGTTGACAAGCGGGATACAGTACAGTTATTCAGGATAGTATAGGTTAATGCAAAATTGACTATCCACTTCACAATAAAAGATCAGGAACCATCCATAAGAAAACATTTTTTAGAAAGTAAAGTTTAAATTTCATAGAACCAGCCATTTTGTTTATAAATACTCTTTCATATGCCATCGGTTTTATCTCCTATCTACAGTACAATTTTTGCTGCAGTTAATCAAAAATGCTAATGTCAAAATTGCACATAAAATATTCAGCCATTTAAGGAGCCATTTTGGGACATGCACAGATGTGTCCTTATATACAGTTCAGGCGTTTTATGGCTTTTACCATCTTTTCATTCCTGTGCACTGAAGTCAAATGAGGCGTTTAGGGTGTAATTATCTAGGCTAGTAAAACATTATGGTGCACAACGTGTTTGTCATCAGCTTATCATTCCCTTCCCACCATTTTTACTGTATACCAACTGTGTGTTTTGTCAAGGATGAAAGACTCAGACAGTTGCTGTTGCATGCTATCCGCAATATGCATCCATTAAACAGACAGGCCGTGAGCACAGAATACATCTATCACACTTTGCTGCAAAACTGAGTGTATTTATCAAATAAAACTCATTCTAATTTTTTTTTTAATTTCATATGTTGAAGTTCTTAATGACCTACCAGTGTATAGCCTCAGATGCACTCATCATTACTTTAGCACCTTAACCGTTTTTCTATATTTAAAGCCATATGGTATATCTAGAAAGTGATGGCAATGTCAGTAGTTCAGTAATTTTAAGGTTTTAGGAGTCAATACTTTGCACTGGCTTACAAATCAAAGCATATGTTCTAGTTCAAATATTTAGTGATGGCAAACAACTGGATTTTGGCAGGTCTGCCTGGGAAACACACACTGACTGGGACCAGGTGCTGTCTTCAAAGGTTCTGCCAATCTAGGTCGGGGTGATTAAAGGTATTTCCAAGTGCAATTAAGTAAAAAGGAATATTAGGGCCCCATCTTCTATATTACTTCAACATTTTCTTATATTTTCCTATGTGATATATACACGCACACACTGTAAAAACTCCAAGTTTTTTGGAGCTTAGCTTTTAGTTGTTAGAGTTGATGGAGCTTTGGAAGATGGCTGTGACAGACAATGGTATACTACAGTTTAAACAGAGAAAACATTTAAAGCTGGACAATGACAATCCAATTGTCATTTCATAAGCCTGAAGTTAGCTACTTTCCTTAAAGATGAACTTTACCCACCAATTTAATGTCTCCCAAAACAAGGTTACCAGTGTGTTTATTTCAGCTCTCAGCCAAACTTTCAAGCCCAAATGCTTGTGTCATAGCTGATCACATGTACAGAACCATGGCAAATTAAAAAGTTAATGACTCCTTCCAAAACCTGATGTGCATCTGATATTTACTATATATAAATATATACACACATACATATACAGTGTTTTGAAAGGTGAATGATGAATTGCCAAGTCAGACATTTTGATTCTTGCAGGCACTTAAACAGACATTTTATCTTTCCCTATCTAAAGTGACAAACTTTTTTTTTTGCAATTTTCTAATGACAGCATATTGAAAATAAAGTAAATGAAACAATAACTTCATCTCCAAGCAAATTGACTTAAGAATAGTGTGCCCTTTCATTATGAAATGATTGAATCGCATATGATGCCTTCAGGCTTTTAACAGAGAATACAAGAATATCCAATCATCTACTCATGACAGGAATTGATTTGAACTCACCTTGAGCAAACATCCTATATAAAAGAGAGCGATTACAAAAGGACATGGGTATTTTTACAATGAAAAGGAACTTTAGTGCACAACAAAGGTAGGTGCAGCAAACAGGCCTTGACTTAGGGGTCTATTCACGAAGCTGTCGAAGGATCTAGCCGTAGCTTCGGCCGATCTTTCGGCTAGCTACGGCCCCAGGACCCCTTTGGTTCAGTAGAACCGAAGGGGTGCTGTACGGGCTATTCACTATAGCCCGTACAGCTCCCGAACCTGGCTGAGCGGCTCAGTGGAGCCGAACACATATGTCTCGGCTCGGCTGAGCCGTGCTGAAAGCCAAAGCTGGCCTAGCGGCCGGCCAACAGCCTGCTTCTGACAGCTGGGTGGAGCCAGCCGTAATCTTACGGCTGGCTCCGGCCACATGCAGAGAGATCAGCTTCCCTGGTTACCTGCTAACCAGGGACACTGATCTCCAAACAGCAAACTCTCCCTGGCGTCTCGGGAGTCTCCTTTTTATTCTGACACGGAGCCGTGTCAGAATAGAAAAAAAAAATTGCCCATTGGAATGCATTGCTAGATTCCTATTGGTTATTTCAATTTGCAATTATTTTTCTGTTCTGCTCGGTCCCTCTGAGGGCCGAACAGGAGAATAGGCCGAACAGCAGTGAGTAGCCTGCCGGAGGTTCGGCTCAGCTTATCCAGATGTTGGATCGGCTGAGTCGAACTCCTTCTGCACTTCATTAGTGAATAGACCCCTTAGTGTTGCCTTGCCTTGAAACATGTTCTGTTCTTGCTTTTATTATTTTGAATATGTGGACAATAATTATTTTGCCATGTGCTGCCACACAGTTAAATTAATGTTTAAAAAAAAATCAAGCACTGTGATGCGTTTTAACAACACACCACAGTGCATGGCGTTCACCACAATATGGTGTATGTTATGTGTGTGTGTTTGGAGGGGTGGTTTTATTTTTTAAAATTTATTTTTATTATTTAATTTTTTTATTAATGTTTTTTTAAAAATATATTTATTTATTATTTTTTACTGTTG